TTAATGGGGATACTCCCATTATTCCCCACTGTGAGGAGGAACAATGCAACCTCAAAACACATCCATCCAACGATTTGGTGAAGTCAAATAATGATAAAAATTATAACTATAGAAACTACTAAGAAGACCAAAGGGCTGCAAAACACATATACATTTTACAAAAATAATATAGTAGCTTCAAAAATTAATATTTAAAATAAAATACACATAAAATCTACAATTGTGGTTCCTGTGTAAGGATATCTTTAAATACCCTTATGCTCTCCAAGCATCCTAGAGATTTTTGGTCTGGAGGGTCATTCATGTTATTGTTTGATTTGTTATTAATATTATTGTAATATTTAACATACTGTGATATATAGAATCAACAAAATGTCAATATGGTGTATTTATTATTTATTATATTTTATTATTATAGAAAGAGTCTTTACTATTCCATTATGCCCAAGGAACAATGTGTCAAAAGTACAACTTTGAACACACCCAGACCTCTGAATCACCAATGCGTCACTCTTATTTGTATTTCATTTTGAACAACAACAACAATAATCACAGCAAGAGTTCAAGGGAAATGTTGTTCAAATGAGCACATTAAAATGTTTCCAAAATAAGCACAGCAAGTGACTGAGTTAAAGAATTTCATGCAGAAAATGTTAAAGAGCTGAATCCAGGCATGGAAAAGGCTGGTTCTGGCAGGAAAATGAGTCACGGGGAAGTGTCAGGCAGAACAAGGTCAGAGCTAATTCAGGAATCAGATGTTTGGGCTTAGAAGTCACGAACAGGGTTTCTTTTAAATTTCATTTGAAGAGATTTGATGACAGAAAAGAACGTATCACTCTCTGGGATCTCAAATGACAGAGTGTCTTCCCCGTGGCAGGTGTTTTATAGACGGTCAGGCTTAATTAGATGAGGAGCCATCTTAATAGAATGAGGGGCAAATCGGAACACGACCCGTGGGTGTAACAATTTGAGCACCATCAGGAACGTGTTCATGTGTGGAAGAACTTCGGTCCCCCGTAGTGGGGGATGTGAGCTGCTGCCTACCTGAGAATGACAAATATTAATTATTTTACTTTGTTACTTACATAAAAGTAGTTTAATGGATTGTATAGTGAAATTAAATATTTATTACAAATTGCTTCATGATTCCAGTATTCAATTAAATTTAATTTTAATTTTAATTGTAATTGTAAAGAAGTAAAAAATGGTTAAATGGTCCAGGGTCTGGCATGAATAAAGTTCACTATTTGTACAGCTGTTGACAGGACATCTTTGAGGTTCTGGAAGAAATTAAGAAGTCACAATATCACAATGTAGGAAACAGTGCGTCACAATGACTTGTGGATCTTCTCTCTTCGTCAGGAAGGAAAATCCAGAGTTCATTCAGCAAAGATGCTTCATTGGAACATACTGTGCCTTGGTAAATAAACCCTTTTACTTTTTCAAGAATGTCTTAAGCCTTCGTGGTTGTTGGAGAAGGCTAGCTAAAGTGAAAGTTTTCTTTCATGGTACCAGTGTCCACATACTCTACCAAATAGAAACAAGCAACTGACTGCACTGTGACACACTGGTAGTGTGACTGAGAAGTGTCGTTTAAATTACAGATACAATTTTTGAACCTTGGAAGAGCAAACACTTCTAGCTTCAAAGCAGAGAGAATGTTTGCTGAGGTCTGGGGGATCTCTACAGCAAAAATAATTTTAAAGTTTACCTTGGTATAACTAGCTAAGGTGTGGGTTATTGTCAAGGAGCAGTACAGAAACACACAATATAAGATCACATTTAGAGCACAGAGAAACAACAAGAAGATGACGGGAATAGAGAGACGAGAGAGCAGAGGAGGTAAGAGGAGTGGGAACTTGAAGCTTGCACCAGGCAAGACCCCCTACTTCATGATCATCCAAACAAAACCTAACTTGGAGCTACTGTAAGTATTTGAAACCTGTTAGAGAGAGCGTTCTATCCTGTATTTTTCAGGAACTTGGACTTCCAGGGTAAAAGATACCTAGGTTAGAAACATCCTTTCTGCTTGTGGGTGCATTTCTAGAGTAGGGAGATAAACTCCCATTTATTTTTGTGGCATCTGGGGTGCAAAGAGAGAGCAGGCTGTATTGCATTTAGTTAGAAGGGTGCTTATCTCTCATGTGGCCTCTGTAGGCATTAGAAGTTATGTTAAAAAATAATGCTTAGTAGCAGTCTGTGTGAGTACAATGTTATGCTTCTCAAACACCTTGTTTGTAAATACTGTATATAGAATAACGTGTGTATTGTATGTTTTGTTGTGTGTAGTGTAGTTTGGGTCAAGTCAAGTGTAATAAATATTTGTTTTAGTAAGTGTGCATTAATTATTATTCCTCTCACCAAAGTTGTGCCAGAGGACAAAGAATTCACATGCTTCTGATTATACCAGCTGCTCAAGTATGTTCTGGAGAAATCACTTACAAGTTGGAGAATTATGAATAATTATTTTACTCACTGACTAAACCACTCGGTTAATTTCTGCTTTTCACCATTTTCATAACCCCCCATTTGTAACAGTAGTTTCTTTTGTGAGCTGTTTCAGAATATTCAAAGTCATGTTGGCAATTCAAAAATGACATGCAGGCGCCCCAGGTTAAGAACTCATTCCTTTATCGGTTTTCAGAGGTTCTACTGGAAGTGCTGTGTAGGAGAGCTGGCATCAGTTGGCCCAGAGATGCATTCCTCACTGAATTACTTACCACCTTAAAGGATCCACTAGTTTACAAATGTCACTGTTGTGTGGCAGGTAGATGCTACTCCAACTGATTTCAATTGTTCTACATTTCTTAGACATTGTCCATCTGTATCAGATAATGAAAGAGACTAAGTTTAAATTAGCAATTTGTGTTGCTAATTTAAAAGCATAATTTAAAACAACATAGAAACAGCATTTTTTGATATATGAAATACCATGCTCTATTAATACTGTAACGAAGGTAAGAGGATCCTATGTAGACAAAGGAGAGGGAAGATAGTGAAACAGGCGTACAATCCAAAACCATTTCATTTTACAGGTGTTTTTACAATTAGTTATCTTCCTAGCCTGTAAGGCATTATATAGGATTTCTGAGTACTGGGCTAGCAGTCTGGCTTTTTCTATGTGGTTCAAAACACAGGCCTATGAGTCACCCTGTTGTGAAAATAGGGTAACTTCTGTTGTATGCTGTGTTGTGTAATAATTACTTTGTGTTATTTTTAATAAATATTGATTTATCCTAGTTTTCCTTTCATATATTACTTTTTCAGCAGAGCTGTGCCAGAGAAGAAAGAACTCAGGTGCCACTAACTGTACCAGCCACCCATTATATTCGTTGACAACTGAGGGTTTTAATTATTTACTATATTTTATTGATTAGCCTGCTCTGTGTTTATATAGTATGTTCATAATTAACGTCTTAATGACTGCATCTAAGAATGAACTGTTTCACAATATGCAAATACTGAAACAATCCAGAATATCATGAATTGGCTCCATGTTCGACAACTTCAATAAAACTGAAACTCCCAACATCTGTGTTTTATAGTCTCCAGAAAAGACCCATCTGGACTGGGACCATAGCTGGGACTCACTTGTCAATCATTAAAAGATTGACCAGAAGCTGTGAGCTCCGGGTCACCTGAATGTTACATTATATGACTGATTTAAATTATGAGAATAATAATAATAATAATAATAATAATAATAATAATAATAATAATAATAATAATAATAATAATAATAATAATGTACAAACCTGCTTTTGCTGTCCCTGGCTGTGGAAGACATTTTAGTAGGAGTGACTGTGCTGCCTTTAACTTTAAATGGAATGAGCGATAACAATGTGCACTGCTAAAGTCATTGAATCGTATGGTCTTCAAAAAAGTCAAATATTTGATTCATTTTCTGAGGTGCAGTGATTCTCTAGGCTCCTCACAAAACTCTAGTGCATTAACATGTCCTACAAACCAATGAAAAATGATCAAGATGTTCTTGAGAGAGTGGGGGGGCATTAACTCCCAGATATAAAATAATGAGCAATAACAAATATATTCCCTTTAATATATTCAAATTTGATGCTCCTCAAGATTTTTGCATTGAATAATTCAAATAATAAAAATAACCCTTTACCTTCTGATGAAGGAAGGATAGATGCCATTTTTTAAACACAAATCTTTTAATCATTTTTATGCATTAATAAGGAAAGGTATTGTAGTTACATCATATTGTTGTTATATTATGATGTATTGTTTTATTTTGAACATCCTAAGAAGCCTAATTGCACATTCATTTAAACTGTCATTACTAAGTGACATTTCATATCCACTGCTAATTAATATTTTCTTCTGAAATATTGTATTGTACTGGTTTCTTAAGTTGTGGTTAATGTAAAACTTACATAAACTGCTGATGACATAAAATATATCATCAGCAGACTTAAAATCAATGTAATGAGTAATAACAATGTGAACTGCTACAGTCATTAAATCTTATGCTTTTCAAAAAAGTCAAATATCATTTTCAGAAAATATTTGACTGTTGTTTTCAAACTCAAATCATTTTCTGAGGTGCAGTGATTCTCTAGGCTCCTCACAAAACTCCAGTGCATCAACATGTCCTACAAACCAATGAAAAATGATCAAGATGTACTAAGAGTGGGGGGGCACTAACCCCCAGATATAAAATAATGAGCAATAACAAACATCTCATTCTGTTTCACATCAAGTCAAACAGATAGAAATGATATGATACTTATTACTTTAGTTATATTACTTTATTTTATGCAGTGCACACATCTGCTTATGGAAAATCATTTATTTCATTTCACCACATTTGAATTGTAGAAATCTCTTCCTTAATTTGCATGTGTACTTAAATTTCAGCAATGGAAAACCCTGATTCAGAAGAACCTCAGTCTGCATATTATTGTTTTCCATCTAACAACGCATCTTGTCATAAAGAAATTCGATATACAGCAATCTATGCTGCTCTGTACACAGCGATGGCTGTGGCTGTTGGACTAACAGTGTGTGGGAATCTGTTGGTGATCATCTCCATCTCTCACTTCAGGCAGCTCCACACACCAACAAACCTGATCCTGCTGTCCCTGGCTGTTGCAGACTTTCTAGTAGGAGCGTTTATGTTACCTTTAACTGTGACAGCACTGATAGAAAGCTGTTGGTACTTTGGGGACTTGCTATGTTTTGTTTACTTGTTATTTGCCTCTATTCTTATTTCAGTTTCTCTCAGTAATCTGGTTTTAATAGCCATTGACCGTTATTTTGCTGTATGTGAACCTTTGCTTTACTCTACTAAAATAACAGTAAATTTGATTCAAATATTGATTCTACTCACCTGGTTCTTATCACCATCTTATACATTGGCTTTGGGTTATTTTAATGGAAATTTTGATAATGCTGATGCATTAAATGCTTGTCTTGGAGAGTGTTTAGTTATAGTAAGTGAATCTTGGGGAATCATTGATATAATAATTAATTTTGTTTTTCCTTGCTCTACTATAATTACACTGTACATAAAAATATTTACAGTTGCAAGAAGGCATGCAAGATTGATCAATGTTTTTACAGAGAAAAATGTAGAAAAATATAAAATGTCAAAACAATCAGAAAGGAAAGCTGCAAAAACATTAGGAATTGTAGTTTTTTCCTTTCTTTTTTGCTGGGTGCCATATTACATCTGGACACTCGTTGAAGGAAATGTTAACGTATCCATAACAGCATTTCAGTTTTCACCTATTGTAATAGTTTATCTTAACTCTTGTATCAATCCAATTATTTATGCCTTGTTTTATCCTTGGTTTCAAAAGTCTGTCAAGCTCATTTTAACATTCAAAGTATGTTACACAGATTCGTCTTTCATAAATCTCTTTCCGAACAATATTTAACCATTTAATTTACATAATCTAAAACAATAGAAATATATTTAAACTTTTTTTTATCAGTTTTTCAATATATTTCGATGACCAGATAAAAAAAATCAGTAAACTTTTCTGAAATGATCAAATCACAGCATAATATAGGGTGTCAAAGTATCACATCTGAACTTTTTGTAAAGTTGAATTTTGAATATGTAAAGTATAAATTTCAGAGTGAATGTAACATAAATGTGTGTGTGGAATTTTCTTGCATTATTTTAAAAAAATGTCCTATTATAAATCTAATTCTGTACAAAACTGTATTAGATGTAAAAAAAAGATCTTGTGATTGATTTCAGATTATTTCATCATATGTATATTGTCAAGTTTTACTCCTAATCTGGTAATTGAATTTTTAACATATTGATAAGATGAGGCTGTCTATTGCAGTTATTGCAGTCTAAATAAATGCTTAATACTTTCAATTGCAAAGCTTTTCTGTTATCTATTACTTTGGAATATAAATATATCTAATTTCTGATGACAATTTATTTTTCTGATATATTCTTAATTTATATACTGTATATAGTAAAAATATTAAAATAAAAATGAGAAGCCCCTTGTTTTGGGGGGAAATATTTAATGGCATACAAACACAGTAATATTGTAAAGGGTAAATATTTAAAGGAAAAGTCACCAACTATGTTCCCAGAAAGCCCCAATTCAGTTATTCATACAGGTCACCCTAAACTATCTGCTGCTTTAAATTAGGAGTGCTTGTTTTAGCAACCAACCCATTCAGAAAATAATGTTTCAATACAGGAAACACTATTTTTGGAGGGCTGAAAAGCCATGTGTTTAACAACTCATTGTTGTTAAATTGTTCCTGCATTTAGAAATTTCTGATTTAAGGGATATGATTAACAACCTCCTGGATTAGGGCTTTACATGACACCAGATTAAGAAATTTTGCCTGTTTTTTAAAATTTTACATGTGTTTTCGCATCAGCACAGTTTTTATACAGAACTGCCTGGGAGGAGCAAATAAAAATACTTGACATCACATTCGTGTTTCAAAACCTGCATTAAGCTTGTAAGAATCTTTATTAAATTACAATAAATTATGTACACATAAAAAATCAATTTGGGAAGTAAAAAATGTGTAGAACAATTGCAAGTCTTTTGGGCCTAAATTTACATTTAGTACAGAAAAAATGAATTTACACATTCTACTCCTTCAGTCAAAAACAACAAAAAAGTTCATATAAATAAATAAAATATATAAAAAGGTAATATACCAAAATCAAGAGTAGCTCCTCTTAGAGTGCTGGTTGTAATTGGAATTGAGACCCCTTTGGTCTTTCATTAGATCCACATGGAAACTCTTTGTCACGGTCATCATCCCTCCTCTAGAGGGCACTCCCACCTTTCTTGTATTATTTACTTTCATTACACACACTTGTCCCTTGTCTCCGTGGTTTCGGGCTCAGCTTTGGAAGACGGACGTCCGGAAGCCCACCTACCAGGAGTGGCCTGAGGGCACAGGTTTCAGCACGGCGTCCTGACTTCTGGATCCAGGGCTTGGAGCGCCTATCACCATTATCCTTTTAATCCTCCATGTTCCTGGTTCCCATTCCCTCTCCCCTGGTTTTTAATTGTTCGTCTCGGATAGATCTCCTGGCTTTTAAGTCTATGAACTGTGACCCGGCAACAGTATTGGACCTCCTTTGGACTCATTCGCTTGTGCTCCCTTCATGCAATGGATTAGTTCAGTTACCATCTGTCATCCCAACCTACCTTGCTGTGCCTTCCCTAACGTCATTCCCTAGACGGCTCCGGATGATACCATCTCACATAGGTACCAACGCATGGACACCCTCCATGTTTGTATTGGCTTTTGTCACTTGATTCCGTGTCTTCCATCCTTCCAAAAGCACCACTTTGGTAAATCATTGTCCCTGTGCTTGTTTGTGTGTTTTGTGAGGGACTGATATTCTGTCCAGGACACATACCCGAGAAGTACCTGGTATAGGCTCTTAACAGTTTTAAAAACCCATATGAATACCAGAGAAACAACTTATATTCTGTAAAAACATAGAAGTACTTTTCCATCATATCCTCTCTCAGCAAGCAAGGGGTGCAAGACAGGATACACTGTCCTGAAATAACAAATTTGAGTGCAAAGCCCTCTTTTCTACTTTGTAGTATGAGGCCAGGTGTAAACATACAGTATCTCAAAGGTGTTGCTGGAATCTTCAAACTCTTCACATTTTAGTTCTTTTTCAGGAACACGATGGTTACTAAATCTTCAGGAAATGAGAAAGCAAATGATTTTCAGGTCACTTCAGGAAACCTGTGTATCTTAACACAGAACTTGATGAGTGACATCAATTGACAAGCAGTTTTCCCATGCTTCATGTAGGACATATCAAGAAAAGGAGTTACTGTACACACCGTGCTTATGATGTTCTTTGATTTTTTTTTTAAATTACAGACTATGTGCAAAAATTAGAGTGAAAAGTTATAATATAAATAGCATAAACATATAACAATACCATCACATTGATGGCAAATTGTATTTAAAATCATTTTAGAACACTTAATCCTGTCTGTGGTGGTAGTGGAGACCAGGATGTTTCCTCCACCAAGCTGGACCAGAATCAAAAGATTCAAAAACCAAGGTTCAAGGACATACAAAGATTTATTATGATTGTGTGGCCACATAGTCAAAACAGTCAAAACCGCGAGTTACCGGTAAATACCGCGAGTTACCATAAAATATCCTATAATACCGCAAGCAAAATAATAGTATCCGGAATTTCCGCAAGGTGGAACTAATAAAGCTCAACCTCTCATGTTTGAGCTGTCGCCATCAAAGTCTTTAACGAAGATATTACTAATAGTATTAATAATGAATGACCTTGGACAAGCTGTAACTCAAAGTATTGCCCTGGTCCACATTCTTTTTTTCATTGACAGTCTT